TCAGGCTTTGTTGGAATGTTATTGATTTTTAAAAAGGTTTTTGAAGTGAGCTGAAGAATTCCCCTTTTGAGAATAATACTAGAACACTTGTTTCCTAAATATAATACCAAAAATATTAAAGGGGTCTGTGAATAATTATAATTGGCAGAGCATTCACATTCATTCATGTTTTATAATTCTGTACACAAAATTACTAGGAATTGGCTTGGGTTGCCATTCATGGGAAGTATTGAGGCATACTCTATATGCCACATTGTCTGCACCCAGGAGCATGTAATGGTTTTCTGATCTGTCATTAACTAGAGAATTTTGCTGTAAGAAGGCTATTTTGGTTTCTTACATCATTGTCCACCAAATTAAAACTTTATAAATGTCTTTCTGCATTTTGTTCATCTTTTATGTTGAATTTTCTGAAATTACTTTCACATTGGTAAGTATTATTTTCTTCTTTTAAATTTGGCCCCGATATGCTCATCCAAGAGAGTAATAACTGTTACTACCTCAGGGGCTGCCCCAAGGACGAAGAAAGATAGATTCCAGATCCAGCACTTAGCACAAAACAAACACTCAGTATTAGCTAAAATTATCATAAAAATACTTCTGCCTCAAAGAGGTGCCTAAATAACTTTTATAGTACCTCTTTTTCTCTTTAGAGAAAGTATTTTGAATCATTTCTTAACGATGGTAACTCATCCCAAGAGTGGCAGACATTATCAGAATTCATGACATCTGAGCCCTGTTATTTAGGTTAGTATATGCATATATGACATGATGGTATACGAACTTTGGTTCATTGTGATAGAACCAAAATAAATGCAGTTGATGCTTATCGATATTTGGGCATAATGATAACAGATACCTTTCTCATTTAAGATATTTTCAGAGGCTTTTGGAACCTAACACTCAGTCAATATGATAAAAGTATTAACCTTTACTGTCTTTCCAAACATAATAGTATTCCAGAATTATTTCAGTCACTTTTCAAAGTCCTGAAAAGAAAATAATTAAGAAAGGCCAGTAAATATATCTCCATAAGGTTTCTATGTGATTTGTACCTTTTGGTGAAATATGTTTGACCAGGTGATTTTTCACTTCAGAGTAGAAAGCTCAAGTCTTTACACATAGGCCTGTGGAGCCTACATGGCCCGAGCACACCTGCCCCAGTCTCAGGCTTTCTGCTACTCTTTATCCCTACCAACACCAGTCACACTGGCCTCTGTGCTGCACTTTACCGTAGAAGTTTCGTATTGGCTTCCCTCTGCCTGTAGTATTCTTCCCTAATAAACCTAGAAGGATGACTTCCACATCTCCTCTTCTCAACACATCTACCCATTCACTATAATTATTGTAATGAAATTACTACACCTCTTCATCTCCCTTACACTGTCCTACTTTTTTGTCCTCCTTGAAATACTTTTTGAGAGTTGCTTCCTGATAAGTGAATTAAGGCCATGAACAACACAACTATTAGGTTCTAAAGGCAGAGGTTGACTTCTGTCTGTTGAACAAGCACATCCTCCACCAAAAGTGCCTTTACCCCTATAATCCTCCAGCTGTCAATTTCTTTGCCACACTTTCCAAAGAAGGTACATCAACAGAGAGGAAAATAGGTATTACGTAGAATAAATGTTGTTATGATACCAGACTTTGGATTTAGAGAGCCCCTTTCTTCGAAAAAGTTAATTTTGCACCAAAGCATATAAACTCATTCATCTTGTCTTCATCTCTGGTTGGTCTGAATAACCCAGGTTATTAATGAAGACCAGAGCAGAAAAGGTGAGATGGCTTACACAGGATCACACAGATAGTTGGTAGAGCTGCTAAGAAAAGCACCCACACAGTCTCTTTGTTCAATGTATGTTCCATATGGAGCTGTATTGCAGGTTCTCTCTCATTAAGAGAAGTGGTCACCTTACCTTGGTTCATACCCAATGGCAAAGGAAATAAAGAAATAAATTTAAAACTTAACCAGGCTTTTATATTTTATAACTTTTTTTTTTACCTTTCAGTCTGAAGGTGAAAAATATTTTTAGAGGATGAGAAAGTGAACAAAACAGTTTCAGACCTTTACTGAAACAATATTGTAAGTCTCTGTCTCAGTCTCAGAGAGTGAGTCTATTTAAAAATGACTGTGATTAAATATTATGACTATGAAAGGACAATAATTTTTACAGCAAGTGAAAATAATGTGGTATATGTGGCATGAGTGGGGGCAGGGGAGAGAGCTGTCTAATTTTGGTCTACTGGACCCAGTATAGATTTTCCTTCCAACTCAGCAGAAATGTGGCTTTAAGAGCATAGTAGCAGCTTTCCTTTCTGCTTGGAGATTTAAAGTTAAAGGTGCCTGGACCAGTTTAATAAGCAGGCTTGCCTGTGACTAATCCAGCGTGCTGTTAATTCGGTTCTTGCTGATGCTGCTACCTGGTTCTATGTGGCCATTGGTGCTTGGGGTATATATTCTTTTCTCAGCTTTGAAATAGTTCTGAATTTTCTGAAAACGAAATAACTTGGGTATTCAAGGGCCTTGTGTGCATCGTCAGATAAGTTACATTGTTGTGGGGGCTGAGAAGAGAAGTGTAGACCTCTCATCAGTAGTTGATTTAGCTTATTTCCTCTTTGCCCTCTTAGTGGCAGTTGTTCAAACTTCAAGAAAAATTTAATTTCTCCTTTTTGAACCCAGTGATATTCTTTAAGCTATGCCAGAGTTGTGATTTTTTTCATGATGCAGAAAGAGAATCTAAAAGAGAAAGAGAAGTACAACAAATAACATATTTGTTAGAGTTTAAAATGTGGCTGCTCATTTTAGCCAGTATAATTTCACATTGTTAAAAGCCTGGAAATATATTTATTTAGTGATTTCAGATGCCTGAAAACTAAAATTAGATATTGGAAAGAAAAGCAGGAAATAAGGTTCCATTTTTTTCCTTATCCAGAACATTGCAAATTAAGGAAAACTGTTTACCGGATTATTTTATTCTTGCTAATGGAACTTATTTTCTCCAGTTTGGTTTCTCCATCAATTATTCAGATATTAAAATATGTTATACTGTAATATTCAATCTCATGTATCTTCTAATTATAGGTCGTTATCAGAGGAAGGATGAAATTTTCTTTTATCTTCACCAGCCCCTCTCCCCACCAGCCTGTCCCCCATACAGTAGAAACGCCTAACTTGGATAATCACTCTTTAAAGTCACGTTCCTAAAGTCTGAAGGTCTTGTTCCGTGTGCTTTCAAAACTGATTTGTTTAAATTTGGTGCTTTGTGTACCATTGCTGTGAATTTTAGCTAATTATACTGCCATTTTTTAGAAGTCGTGTGTGTCTAATTCTGAAAATGACTTCGTACATTAAGGCTCATTTAACCACTGGTGGTGACAGAGAAGTTGAGAGACTTACAGTTATTGGTTGTAATTTTAAAACAGTGATAGCATGGGACTTTCTTGTACTGCAGGCAGATAAGACGCTATGTTGGCAACCTCTCAGTCATTAGGAATGTTGCAATTTGGCTTATGTCTTACGGGTCAAGATGTCACACAGAAGATATGTTTAGTCATGGAAAGGAAATCAGTGTCCATCATGCAAAGATAGTAATAGGGTAAGCACTTCCAATTGGATTTTCATGGGAGGGATTGATTTGTGTGCATTACTAGGTCTGTGTAAAATGGTGTCCTTTTGGCACTAGCTGAATATAAATTTCAGCAAATGTTTTTTCTTGCTGCAGATTAGTGTAATACAGTGAAATTTTCTGTAACTGAGGGGAGGCAGTGGTTGGGCGTCTGCTAATAGCCTGAAAGTAACTAATGAGGATGTGCATTCGGAACGATTGATTGAATAGCTGCAGTCCTGTGTGTTTCTTTCTCGCTTGCTCTCTGCAAGCTGTAGAGAGGGAGGGGAAGAGCAAGACACAGGGAGGGAGCGAGAGAAAAAACGCTTTCTCTTAAGTGGAAGTAGCACGGATCCCAGGGGCCAGGAGGCCAGAAATGGAAGTTTAAACTGCATCTGTCTTTTAAAGGGAGAACAGCAGGAATCAAAATGTCAGTCTCCGGCTTATTTTTTAAGATCTGGAAGATAATACAGAGTACTTTTTTTAGGATGTGTTTTTTTTCCTTGTCCATGTTGAGATTATCTAATGTTATCTGAGAAGCTGGATTCCTATATGTCTGTCAGTTGAAGTGGAGATGGGAAGCAGTTGTGATAAAGGTATAATATGTATATATCTATCATCTGTGTGTGCGTGTGTATGTGCATATATATATGCATATATTTATATCACTCTCTGAAAAAAATTGTTTAAATGTAACCTTAATATATAGTGTGTAGTAATTAAATGAGAAAATATCACCTCATCTGCAAAATCCGAAGCTTGTTAGGTCAGTTTGAACAGATTTAGGATTCCAGAGTAAGATTTTAGTAAGGTCATCTTGCCAGCACAAGGAGAAGCTGATCTATTTTTATATCTGCATAGGCATATATGTTATTTTATCCTAGCAGTAGCTTTCAGTTGTCTCGTGGCCCTTTGGCTGCAGTCTGGCGAATCATCTTATCTGCACAGAACTGAACTTTGACCTTTGTGCAGACACCATCAAATCATATGCAACACAAGACTGTATTTTGTTAACAAGAAGATCAAAAATTTCTTTGGATTCTATTAACTCCTATATTGCTGACATATAGAGAAGTAGATTCATACACTGTGAGATAGAGATAGTAAATGAATTATAGATATTAAACATAGCTCAGAAAAAATTACTTTTTACATGTGCACAGATATAATTATAACCTGTCATGCTAAAGCAGATTTCTTAAGCATGACCAGGTCTCCCTAGTGCCTCAATAGTTCAAATACCACAGAGATAGATAAATCATGTGGAGATAGAATGTAACGTACCTTTAAAGCAAACTGATTTTTTTGTGGGGGAAGAAAACCCCACTAATTTTACAATGTAGTCAGAGATCCTCAAGTTTTTTTTCTTCATGGTGTTTATTTCTTCTTTTCCAGAGGTGCCGGCAGAAAGGTCCCCCCGCAGACGGAGTATCTCAGGGACCAGTACATCAGAGAAACCCAACTCCATGGACACTGTAAATACCTCACCCTTCAAAGTACCAGTAAGTGCTCCTCTTCTCTAAAAGATATTTTGCTTTTCTCTCCTTTCTCCTTAGAGTTAGAGACAGTTACTAGGGAATCAAAACATTTTGCTCAAGAATTTCCTTAGAATACTGAAGTTAAAGGACAGAGTTATCAACTTACATAGATTAACTGTGGTTAACATCCACTACTTTCAGCAGGAGGTTTATTAGATTTTAGGGAATAATTATTTATACTTGTGGGAAATTTCTAAAATGTATAATAAAATATGTTAAATTGAAAGTCCTCTGAACTATAGAGTGCAAATCTTTGCAGGATGCCCTTTTATCAAGTTATGGGCGAAAACCTGTCACCGTTCCATAAAGATGGATTTTTTTTTTTTTTTTTTTTAACAAATGGAAGGAGTTTTTTGTTTTTTGTGTTATTTTTCTTGAGCGGGAGCATAAACAGTGAATGATGGGACTCCTAAAGTTGCAGAACAGACTATCAGAGAATTAGACAATTGTGAGTTCTAATCCTGAGACCTTGGCCTGTGCTTTCCTTAAGCCATCTTGTAGATGACCATCTAAGTGCTTAAGAAATGCCCTGGGGCGCCTGGGTGGCTCAGTTGGTTAAGCGACTGCCTTCGGCTCAGGTTATGATCCTGGAGTCCTGGGATCGAGTCCCACATCGGGCTCTCTGCTCAGCAGGGAGTCTGCTTCTCCCCCTGACCCTCCCCACTCTCATGCTCTCTCTATCTCATTCTCTCTCTCAAATAAATAAATAAAATCTTTTAAAAAAAAAGAAATGCCCTGGAAGAAATAACCCAGTTTAAAATATTCCTTAAACTGACGAGGCAGTACTAAGAATCAGTATTAAATCCTGAATGCTGAGCTTGGAAGGCTATAAGTGATCAGGTCAGCTGACCACCAGTTGCAGTCTGGGACCTTTTTGATATAACTCTGAGTAACCAAGATTTTAATCCACCCATTTTCTTTGTTTATTGAATAAGAAATAGACTAATTATATCATTTTATTAAAATTTATTGTTTTTAAACTTGAAAAAAATTACTGCCATGAAGTTGGTCATTATTGTAGGTACAATGGAAATCACTATAGAATAGAAGTAGACTTTTCTATTGGGAAAAAAATTCTTTTTTTTTTTTTTTTAAAGATTTTATTTATTTATTTGACAGAGAGAGACAGAGTGAGAGAGGGAACACAAGCAGGGGGAGGGGAGAGGGAGAAGCAGGCTTCCCGCAGAGCAGGGAGCCCGATGCGGGGCTCGATCCCAGGACACTGGGATCATGACCTGAGCCGAAGGCAGAAGCTTAACGACTGAGCCACCCAGGCGCCCCAAAAATTCTTTTCTTTTAATTCTGTTATGTTAATATGTTGTATTCTTTATATATTCCAATACTTTTTTTTTTTTTTTTTAGTTGGGATGACTTTTTAATTTGAACTAATATTTTGAGACATATAAGCTGGCATTGATTTGTAAGCTAACCAAAATGAATGTTTTATTTTGGATTAACCCTGAGGAGCAAGATTTGCCCTTATTGTATCTCAGTGCCTTGTAGAGTTCGTGGATATCTGTTACTGTGACACCTTTCAAATGTTTACCAGTTCTCTCGTTTTTAAAGATCAGAAGCAAGACTGGATTAATATTCTAACCAAATTATGACAGGAATTATAAAATAACAGATTTCATCCCTTTTACTGAATTTCTCTGTTCCATAGACATGGCTTCCCACTTAAATGTTTGGGTTTTTGTTTTATTTTTTAATGAATGACAAATACATTTTTTTTTCCCTCTTCCCTCCCCTTCTTGTTTTCCTGATGGAACAGAAATCGAATATAGTGAAACTGACTATCTGTACAAAGTGGTGAAAAGGATTGAGTTAGAATTTGAAATATTGATACCATCATGCTAGAATAAATTTAAATTTTTTTAAAAGTCAATAACTGAAGAAAGATATCCCTCTATAATAAAGAACATTCAAGTACTTATATTGAATCTGAAGTTCATGACTGGGCTTTTTAAATTTAAATTAATTAAGAACAACAATTTTCATTTATATTTAAACAGTGATAGCTAATTTAAGGTTTACCTTAATAATAAAGCTGATTATTCTTGAGTAAAAGTAATAAACCAATGATGCATATATATGACCGCTGGCACTACTTACAAACCATTTACTCAGTTGTTATTCTTCTGACAATCTCAGCCACCTCATGCATTTAGAAATATTGAAGGAAAGAGGGACCTCTGACTGGCAAACTACAGTCACTAAGCCCATGCACTTAGCTCTCTAGGAGAATTTAACCAGTCCTTATCTAGACAATTAGTTGAAAAATAACTATCAGAACACCCTGTTGTAATTTTTCAAAAGATGACAGTGAGTTAAGGGAGGAGGCAGAGAAAATGAGAAGCAAGGAGTCATAAAAACAATCCGAATCCACTTAGGATAAAGGCAGATAGCCCAATATTTATTAGTAGTCCTTCAGAGTACCATTGTATTACAGGATGGATGGTGCATAGTGCAGTAATTGACATTGATAATAATGATCCTGAATCATTAAAAGGAAGTGAAATTATATTTCTTGTGCTGGGCTTTTTTTTTTTTTTTAAGTATAATTGTGTAGTATTGTGTGATACATATCCATTGAGAGTATTTTAAATCTAGAAGATATGCGATGCTTATAAAACTTGTTATCCAGAAAAATCTGGTTTGTGAAATACCTTATTCCGTGATAATGCTGGATAAATAATTTATATTCTTTTAAAAAGAAACCAGAATATGCTGACTAGATGAGGCACTGCAGTACTTGGATGTCTGTGGAAGTCCACTGTATGTTTTAAATTTCTATATAATACCACTAGCTAATGTGACTTACTTAAATGTAATGCCAGTAAGAATTATGTCTAGTTTTCAGGTCAACACAAAATGTTTTTGTAGTTAATATCACAACAGAGTCTCTGAATATGGGAAAACACTACAAAAAGGAACCAAGCTTCGAGATACTTAACTAAGTTAATTATACAGTAGCTCATGTTATTAACATGATTGTTTCCATGGAAGTGATCCATGTTAACTTTCTGAAGGAGCGGAAGTGAGATTTAAGCATAAGTTCTTGTGGTTCTAGGATTCAGGTGTCTTTACTGTGGTGAACAGCAGGTTCACTACTTACTTACCCGGTGGACTCTCCAAAGGGCCTGTTCTTCCCAGCTCCATTTTCAGGCAAATACTGAAGAGCAGATGAATAGTTTTTAGCAGGCCTTGCCTGAAATTATTGACAGTGACACACTTACTGAGTGCTTACTCTGGGCAGAGTATTAGTGATTCACCAATTATCGAAACTTTCTTGGCACCAGGTCCTGGGTAAACAGAAATGAACACAACAGAATTTTCCACTCCCAGAGCATTTCTAGTCTAGTAGCAAGAGACAGAAAAATGACCAGATTCATAAGGAGGTGGATAAGCGTGGTGACACAGATTTTTAACAATGCATTGTGTAAGCTAAGGCTTTGCTGGGGAGCCAGTATTTGGGCTGTTTCAAAGGCTGAATGAAAATAATTGACAGGAAGACGAGTATTCCAGCCTGAGGCAATAGCATTTTAGAAAGACACACTTCATAAAGTGACTGAGGCATCCAGGGAACATAGAAAGGGTTCAATGAGGCACGAGCCAAGAAGCATGTAGGCAAAAATGGCAAGAGAGAAGGATGGGGAGGTAGGTTGGGGCAAGACTGTGACTGTTTGTCAAGCTTAACTAAATTTGGCAAGCATTAGGGATTTGTTTTTTGAAATATTTATCTTGGCTCAAAAGCTAAACCAAAAAGGAGCTAGTCTTGGACTCTCCAAAAGGGCCTTCTTCTTCCCACCTCCATTTGTATAAATACTGTGGAAGTACTGGTAAATTACTTAACTTTTCCCCAAGTGACTCTTTCCCTCTTACTGTCAATATCGCAGCTCAGGGTGATAGGTCAGGGACTGCCGGCCATTCAATAGAGGCCCAGCCCAGCACCCACCCCAGGCTATCAGCTGAGCCTGCTGGTAGTTCTAGAGTAGTGGTTAGCTTGAGATCCAGGAGAAGCAGGTGGGTAGGAGTCGCTTATACCCTGCTGAGTGCTGCTGGTGTGACAGGAAGGAGAAAAGGAATAACTATAGCGGTGAACCCAAAGCAGAGAAGCCCAAAACCTTGGTATATCTTTCTCATCTCCCAAAATGTGTGCTTTTAAAAACTTAAAATGGATAACCAGTACAACAGTGTATTCATGTATATTTCTTACTTAGTCTAAGGCATCTTTACAGCAGTGGTAGACAGCAGACTCAATAAATTTAAAAAATAAAAATAGGCATAAGAGGGGACTCATGTGGCCACTGAATGCATAGGTAAGGCAAGGTCTTTGTTCTTAGGAATGTTTCAGTGTATTTGTACTTTTATCTAATCATAGCCGTAAGGAGAAGCAGAGATCTGCAGGTTAGTTTTTCTGTTTCTTCTTTTCATTCCATATTTCTTTACCTTAATTCCAGTTGCAATTGTTTGTGGATTGTGTCCCTCATTAGACAATAAATATCTCCTCTCATCTTTGTGGCTCCCTCAACGCCTAACACAGTACTTTGCACACAGTAAGCACTGGGCAAATAATTGTTTAATGGATAAGATATGCGTGAATTATTGAATGACGAGCATCAAGTGAGTATCTCACATTTACTCTCTTGGTATTACGGATGATATCCTCAGTCGAATGGATTACTGAACCATTTAATAATCACTAAGCGATCATTTGGAGTAAATGAGTACACCTGTGCAGAATAGTTACATTTTTTCTTCAACCAAGAAAGACTTTAATATATATTTGGAATTCAGGGCTATGGTATTTTATGTATATAGTGTATACTGTGTCTACTTACATTGGGAAGTGAAACTACATAGAATTCTTTATTTAATGGTTTGTTTCTGTGGCTATTTCTTTGAGCCCTTTAGATGCCATACGTATGTATAAGCTCACAATGTTTTTGCAGATCTGAGTCTTG